TCAGCACTGGCGGGCGAACAATCTCAAATCTTTGGTTCACTGATGACATTGACAGCCTGGCAGGCAGCGAAGATGAACTTGCCAACCTTGTGAAATGACTGGATGAAACCTCTGCAAAATATGGCATGGAAATCAGTACAGAGAAAACCAAGCTGATGACAAATAAACATGAAGGGATCAGCTCACATATCACTGTCAGTGGACAAGGGCTGGAGACAGTGAAACAGTTCAAGTATTTGGGGGCAATCATCACTGATGAAGGATCAAAGTCAGAAAGTCTGGCAAGAACTGTGCAAACAACAGCAACAGTGGTAAAGCTAAAGCCAATATGGAGGAAGAAGATCTCCCTGGAATCCAAATGGAAATTGCTGCACGTACTGGTCATCTCCATTTTTCTGTATGCGTGCAAGACATGGATCCTTACGGCAGAACTTGAATGGAAAATACAGGTATTAGAGATGAGATGCTTCCGTAAAATCCTGGGCATCTCCTACTTTGACCACATCACTAATGAAGAGGTCCGCAACATCATCACCCAATGCGCTCAGTCATATGAAGACCTGTTGACCATGAAGAAGCGCAAGCTGAGTGATACGGCCTTGTAACAAGATCATCTGGCCTATCCAAGATCATCCTCCAAGGGACAGTAAAGGAGAAGAGAAGAAGAGGTAGACAGAAGAAGAGATGGATTGACAACATAAAAGAGTGGACAGGAATGGACTTCGCAGAGACTCAAGCACTGACACACAATCATCAGGGGTGGAGACATTTGGTTGACTGCTCATCAGTGATGGTGCCCCAATGACCAATGCGGTTATGGGAGTGATGATGATGATGTATAGAATGCCTTCTATTCCAGGAACTCAAAATACTGTCCAAAAATTAAGTTAAGATTTACAACACCCTGTGAAGCAGGTAAGTGCCATATGCCCTTTGTCATAGAGGAGGAAAACATGAAGAACAGAGGAGTGAGGTTACTTACACACCCAAGGTTTCACAGTGAACCCAAATCCTGACTACATCTTGTGCTTTAACCACTCAGCCATGCTTCCCAGAGGTCTGAATCAGCCTTAATCTTCACCCAGGTCTCAAACTGAACCTGACCCACTTGTGAGATTAAGAAAAGATTATGTATACCCCAAACTTCATTTCACTTCCCTCCCTCTTCAGAAGCAGACCCGCTCAGCTCGGTGATAGGAAAGTTTCTATTGGGCCTTGCTACTTCAGCATATTTGGGTCTCAGCAGAAGCACTCCCGAGTAGCTCCAGAGTGCTGCTATGATTGATGAAAGAGTTGCAGTAGCAGGGTCCTCCGGAAATGAGACAAATTTTCCCCATCCAGAGAGAGGAGTGTGTCTTGTGGCCTTACCTTACCTCCCCAAATAGGACCTGCCGCCAGAAGTGAGTGAATCTCTCAGCCTTCCCGAAAAAGACCTACTACTGCGGGATGGGAGAATGTAGATCATGGGGATCTTCTGCTGGCGTGATGGATCATTAATGGTTGGAAGATGTGGGAAGGAGAAAATCCTAATGTTTTTATTATTATTATTATTATTAGTTATTTTATTATTATTTTATTTACCGTAGTGTATAGGAGTCCAGGTTGTGGACCAGGACCCCAATTGCGCTAGGCCCTATACAGACATCGAACAAAAAGACCCTGCCCCAGAGAGCTTACAATCTAATGGCCATGGGTAGGGGCCCTCAAAGGAATCAGAGGTTACCACTTTGATAGTCAGTGAGTTAGCTGGCATTTTAATGGAAGCACCTTGTGGAGTTAATTCTGTGAGGTAGTAAAAATCCAGGTGCCTATAGCATGGTTATAAGGAGAAAGACCCCTATCACACTGGTAAAGGGAAGCCTTGATAGCAACAGATTGTGGCCAGACAATTTTAGCCAGGGTGTGGTAAGACCCTTAGTAAATAATTTCCCCTCCCTACCAATTTGTATGACTTTGGAAAATTGTGTACCCTGCTGTTTCTAATCCTCCAGGAGCCAACCTGCTGCATTCTCAACACTGATCTGTCCGTGAGCTATTATTGATTACATCAACAGGAAGCTCTGAGACTACCTCTACGCAGCCCTTCTACGATCTTGGGGGGTGTCTCAGGGAAGCTATTCTGTTAAACATGTTTCAGAATAAGATAGAAAAAGGGAACCCAATCCCCTTTGTTTTTAGCCGCAGGGTGATTTAAAAACTAAAATAAAACAGATATTTGGAAGATGACCCCTACAACAGCAGCACGATCTGAAGGTGGCTCAAATGTGAGTCTCCTCAAAGTTCTTTTTCTGGCCAGCTTTCCACTCCTAAACACGCTCTCCTACTCTTATTTTAAATTCACACATTTTAAGGTCAGAATGACCACTATGAGCAACCAGTGTGACCTCCTGCATAACAGGCTCTAGAGTTACTCCAAGTGGTTCGTACAGCAAGCCCATCACTTTTGACTGAGCTAAAGCATATCTTTCAGAAAGACATCACATCTTGATTTAAAGATTTCAGGTGATGGAGAATCCATCACATCTTTAGGTAAGTTTTTCCAATGGTTAATTACATTCACTGTAAAAAACAAAAATTGCTCCTTAATTTCTAGTCTATTTAGATTGTAAGCTCTTTGGGGCAGGGACCTTGTCTTCATTCATGTATAGCACTGGCCACACACCAATGGTGTTATATAAAACAAAATCAATCATTATGCTGGGCCTTAATAGGTTGACAGTGTAACAATACGTGGCATGAAAAAATCCACTATAAATAATTAAAACCTAGTCATTTCCTAAATGCTTATGTAATTGTATAGCACTGCTTTTAAAACAATGGCAAGCATTGGTTTAAATCTGAACGTATGTGACATGTCATACTGGTTTTTATGAGGAATCTCTTAACTCTGTGAACTCTACCACAGGCGCCGGCTTCCTCCGGGCCCCGGGGGGGTGCTCACCCCCCCAAGTTCCACCCTAGGCCCCACCCCCACCCAACCCTTTCCCCCAAACCCCAACCCCTGCCCTTCCTCTTCCCACTCAGTTCCGTCCCCTCCCAAGTGTGCCCTGTCCCCGCTCCTCCCCCTCTCTCCCAGTGCCTCCTGGATGCTGCAGAACAGCTGATCGGTGGCGGATGGGAGGCACTGGGAGGGAGGGTGAGGAGTTGATTGACAGGGCCGTTTGTGGACGGCAGACGCTCTGGGGGAGGACGGGAGCTGGCTGCTGGTGGGTACTAAGCACCCACTAATTTTTTTCCGTGGGTGCTCGAGCCCTGGAGCATCCACAGAGTCAGTGCCTATGAACTCTACCGTTGAGGCCTATCCTGCCAATCACAAACATGCTGGCAAGGGATCACCTACACCTTGTTCTCAACCAGGGGTCTGGAGACCCCCGGGGGGGCGACAAGCAGATTTCAGGGGGTCCGCCAAAATAAAGCAGAGAGCAGGGCCAGCGTTAGACTCAATGAGGCCCAAGGCAGAAAGCTGAAGTCCAGGCTGAAAGTCGAATCCTGGGCAACTTAGTCCCTGTGGTGTGGGGCCCTGGGCAACTGCCCTGCTTCCTACCCCCTAATGCAGGCCCTGCAGAAAAACAGTTGTTGTGGCGCAGGTGGGCTGTGGAATTTTTATAGCCTGGGAACCACAAAAGAGCCTTAAAACTACCTTTGCCCCGGTCTCCATTTCTTCCCTGAATGCACTTCAGTCGGAGGGCAGAACCAAGCAGCTAGCCATCACATGCTGGAATGGCCTTTTTTCCTTCGTCATTTACAATTGTTGACACTTGTGCTAGGGTGGCATTGCCTGCAATGAAAGCCACCGGAAGAACTGTTGTGAGCCTAAATAAGCATTTCATTTCATTGAGCTTAACTGAACATTAACCACATTGTACTGCAATACAATGCTTTACTTGGGGTCAAGAACCTTTGCTAAACTAGCTAACTAGGTATGCACCTGACAGGGATTTTGCCTTTCTTTTTATCCCCTTCATTATCTCAGTGAGATCTGCTGTACTTCCATGCCTAAAAATCCAGATAAAATATTTGAAAAAACACTGACAAGAGTTTAAAAGCCAAGAAGTTTGTGAATTAGCCTGAAGGTAGCGCGCAGGGCCTAGAAGCCAGAATTAACGATGGCCCTCGCTAAAGGTTTTAACGGCACTTTTTTTCGGGATGACATAGGTCACCTCATTTGTGGTTTCACTCCTCATGACTAAAGGAGGACCCCCCAAATTCACAACCATGTGACCTTTACGCAACGCCAGAAGGCGCAGTCAACAGGCCAGGCGCCGGCCGCACAACATTGGCAACTTGAAACTCAAGATGTTAAGCGTTGCGTCCTCATCCTCCTCATGGTTTGGCTTTGCTGCATCCTCGCGTCACAACATCGTCGCCTGGTGATGCGATGACAACCCCCGATGGCTCTTTTCGGGGGGGGCCCTGAAAGTGACCCGGGGGGCCCCCAAACCAAACGCAGGCAACCCCTAGGATTCTGGAAGTGGTGAATCTGGGGCCTGATGAGAGAAATTGGGGGCGCAGCCCCTCGTGTTCTCTGGGGCCCTCCCCTTGCACTGGATGTACACAGACCTCACAGGCGTTTGGGGGGGCGGGGGCGCTACAATTGTCCCCTGCCCACCGGCCGTGGGTGGGATCCCGGCTGGGAGAGGCGGGCTGGCACATTGCAGCCGGGGTTGAGGCGCTGGCGAAGGGACCGCCCTGGAGCTCCCCGCGCCGGGCCCCACACGTGCGGGGCTCCCGGGGGCGGGGGGCAGCCCCAGGGCAGGGGGCTCAGGCTCCGCACCCCGGCAGCCGCCCGCCGCTTCCTCCTGCCGGGCCTGGCGGGAGTTGTAGTGCGCAGGGCCCCGAGCCGGCCGGGCGGAGGCGGGCAGCCCGGCCCCCTGGCGGACTACAAGTCCCAGGCAGGGCGGGTGGGCGTGTGCCGGTGGCGGCGGCGGCGGCAGAGGCAGGGGCAGGCCGCGCACTCGCACACGCCGCCGGGCAGCGCCGGGGGAACGTTGCGCCGCTCGCTCGCTGCCGGAGCCGGGGACGATGCAGGCGGAGTCGGGGATCGTGGCGGACTTCGAGGTCGGCGAGGAGTTTCACGAGGAGCCCAAGACCTACTATGAGCTGAAGAGCCAGCCCCTGAAAAGCAGGTGGGTGAGGGCCTGGGGTGCTGCCAGGGCAGCGCGGTGCCCCTTCCTCTGCCCCCTGCCCGTGTTCATCCCTCTGCACCATTCCCCC